TAATTTATTATCTTAGTTCGTGACTATCTACAAGTAACGAGTCACAATCAATATTGAAATCCAATAAATCAAATGATAGAGATTGATGATGTCATTAAATTAGACTAGTAATTTAACTCTAATTAACATTACTCTTTATTTTAATCCAGGGTTGGAATAAGACCTGAATTTATTATCCTTATATTCTCTCGTACCTTGATCCGAGATCATTTGGTATTAAAGTTGAAAAAGATAAAAGAAGCATGGCTTCCAATCCATTGAAAACCAGGCTAGTGGACCCTAGTATTAAAGTTTAATTTTAGATTGTGTGTGTATGATCGTGATCAAACCGTGACTACTTCACTTATTTGATTTTAAATTATTACCATTCGTCAACACAAGGAAAATTTCATTGGCTAGTATAGGTGGGGAGTTAAATGAGTTCATATTCGTCACAATCGGAGGGACCCAAGAGTAGGGTGTGAAGGATGGAGGAGGAGAGGGAGGAGAGGAGGGAGGAGAGAGAGAGGGGTTGTATCCTTAAGACTTAGAGATTAAGGGTTTATATCCATCCCCCAAAATTGTCCTTGTGAGAATATAAAGGTATTTACACATGTGTGGCCTAGACACATGCGACATAAGCTAATAAACTAGTGACAAGTGTCTCAAGTATTAATTAGGTAGTGAAACACACCCTGTAACAGAACCTTGTCGCCGGACCCTACAATGGGAATTCTTGCCTCGAGACCTTGTTGCAGGAAGCTAGTCTCAAGACCCTCATTATGATTGCTCACAATCTTGTTTATCTCGACATATATATCCCAATATTTCTTTTCTCATTCTCTCATCAAATTATACTGTTTAGTTAGAAAAATATATTTGTAGACTCCACTTATATAGTGGTACCCCACATGGTGGCTCGAGCATGCGCTTAGCACGATGATACAATGGGTCCTGCGTAACATTTTTCCCAAGCTAAAATTTCTCTTAACCAATCACAACCTTCTTAGAGTCCTTCGGGGTGACCTATCGACGTGACCATCTACGTGGTAGTGTTACAATATTCACTATCTACAGCTAGTAAACTACCTTGGACTAGGGTAGCCTCTGGTCGACCTAGAATTTTTTTCTTTTTTTTTCTTAAAAAATGAATGTACAATTATATATGGATGTAACATTCCTCAAATTTATTTTATAGTTTCCACCCACCTAAGTGCCTGTTTAAAAAGCAAGATTACATTTTATTAGTGTATAAAAATTAGGGGATCCCATAAATTTTAAATGACCCCAAAAATTTCCCAATATTTAGTAATTTAAATATACAAAAAAGATCAGCATCATAATATAAACAACAAAGCTAGGGGCGGAGCAAACAAGTTTGGCAGTGGGGGCAATAAAACTAATTAATTGATATAAACTATGATGTAAATATTTTTTGAGCAATGCTACTTGAATATAATTTTCTAATCTAATTTATTGATTCAGTCATTTATAATCATTGGATTAATAGGTCACAGTATTTGTTAAGACGTGCAGTCAATCCAATGGTTGTAAAAGATTAGGTCAATAAATTAAATTCAAATAACGTTATTGATATTTTTCATTGAAATATTAATTTTTAGAATTTTTTTAATTTGATTTCTTTAAAATCTCTTATTACAGATATAACATGGATACATGAGCTATGTGCAACTAGATGTGACAAAAAAAACTTGCAAAAAATCTCTTTTACCCCAATAAATACTAAAAATTATTCACTAGTGAGGTTGTAATTTGATCTGGTTAATTTGAACTTCACTAGAAAAGTTCAATATTTGAGTAGAGATTTTTAGAAATTGATTTAAATTTGATCAGATTGAGTGTCAATTGTCAAATTAATTAGATCTAACCCGAAATAAAACCTAAACTTCTCCCAATTTAATAATTTTGGTTAACTCGTTTGTGTAGAAGGTTTTGGCGCCCCCTCCTTCTTCCTTTATTTTCTCCCCTGTCTAATTTCTTGGCTAGAATCAATTGATTTATGGCTGGCTCTACTCTATCTTTGAGGTTGTGTTGAGATCGAACGAAGATGAACGGCATGAAATATGAGGATGTCAAAGTTACGTTTTGATTGTTTAAAAATTAAACTAACTCACTCTTTACTTTATTAAAAATTTATTAGAGACAAGATTTAAAAATTTCAGTGGGGCTAGCTGAGAGCAGATATGGATGCCTTGCCTATCCAGGTCAGTTCATTTGTATTATAGGCGAAACCATAGTTTAGATAATTTGCTGTGTTTGAA